AAGGACTCTGCGGGTGACTGAGAGGGGGACGACCAAAGACTTTGCCGGGGACTGAGAGGGGGCCGACCAAGGACTTTTTCAAGAACTGAGATGGGGCAGACCAAGGACTTTTCCAGGGACTGAGAGAGAGTTGACCATGGACTTTGCCATGGACTGAGTGGGGGCTGACCAAGGACGTTGCCATTGACCACCAATATTTTCTGTTACTGCCTTGTTGTTGTTGTTTACAGACTTTACAAGACCAGGAGATGAAAATTAAGCCTGGTAAGTGACCAGTTGAATGACAGGTTGGACATGGAGACAAGGCTGTGTCGATTATGTCTGGGTTTGGGTTCTTAAAGCATTTATAGATTTGGACTCCAATGCAGGGGTTCTCAGTTAGAACAGGTTCCAGGTTGGTGGCGAGGAAATGCAATGAGACCAGGTATTCGAATGAAGGAAACCCAAAAGGCTTGAAGCAAAAGACAGCAATGTGGACCACAGAGAAGACACAAAGGGCTGTAGACTGGGTCATCATTTGGTAATTAACGTTCCAGCTCTGAGTTCTGGTCAAGCTCAGCCTTACAGGTGGAGCCCCATCAGCTATGTGGGGAACCAATGCTATCAAATATCTCCACCTACCACTCTAGAGCTGCAGGAAGTGGTTAATGATGACAAACTGTAATCCCCACAGTATGTATAATTCTGACCCTCTGTAAATTAAGTTAAAAAAAAATCACAACACATTCAAATTTGTGCACCCAACTTTTGTTTTAAACACTAAAATGTTTTATAATCGTTCCACCCTGGAATATGGTTAAAATAACTAATGAACAAACCCAAATTAAGTTTACACTTTTATACAGCAATAAAAGCATTTTATTACAGATTAGTTTATTGCAAAAGTCATTTACGATTATTATTGGGCTTTTTAAAGAAAAGCTGATGATGGAGTTTCTGACTAAATGCAGAATGCCTCCTTTCGTATTCAAGCAGCAGGATCAGCAGAAGCCACGACTCGATGTGATCTTCTGTTTTTAGAGCTCAAAAGACGAGGAAAAGTGCATGTATGCAGTTCCTAATGGTAGCAATTTCTAAAATGGCCCATAAGGTTGATTTAAGACTTGCAGTGAGACAGATCAGCCGGACTTTAAACAGCAGGATGCTTCGAGGGGAATCTGCTGCGTATGCTGTCACTGAATAGGGAGCGAGGGATGAAGGAGCCAATTTACCCTGAAAATACCATCCTTAAGCATGCTGATCCATCCAAGCACCACTAATCAGTTTAGGTGTAGATTGATTCCAGTGAAAGCTAGAGTTCAGCTTTGTTTAGATCGAAGGAGGACGAGCCAACGGCATTACGATGATGCTGCGAGGTCCAGAAGAGAAGACAGAGAGGTTCAGACAGTCCTCAGGAGGCCTCGGAAAGCTGCAGGCCTCGGTTTGAGTTTCCTCCATGTTTACGGTATCTGAGCTCAGGAGAAGCTTTCATTCAATTAAACTTCTCCAGTTCGTCCCTCCTCTCACTCAGTCTGCATCCCTCCCCCCAATTAGCTGAAGGAAAACCAGATGAATGTACCCATGGGGAACCAGACCACTCACACATTTACACACGAGCAGTGGTTCATCATTACTATTGGAAATTCCCCACCGTTCTGCGATGCTGCAGCCAATATGCATTAGCACGGAGCTTTTCTGAGTGTGATTTTTTATTGAAAGCTGAAAGCTGGGTAGTTATATGATAAACTAAAATCATTTGGAGCCATAAAAAGCCTCTGACCACAATGATTCTTTAGTGTAATGGCCTCGGTTGTGTCAGGGCTGCAGAAAAACAACAAGTGACAAATTCAGTCCCTTGTCATCCTCAAGGCAGAGAGAGAAGAAGAAAACTTAATTACACCAAAGAATAACTCTCTGCTAAATTCAATTCGAATGATCTGAGTTTGGCTCGCAGCCAGAGAGAGGGTCCGCATTGCGTAGGTGGAGCTGGAAACGGGCCTCGAGTCTCTGACCCGCTTCATCAGCAGAGCTGAGAGGCCATAAAAGAGTTTGGGTGAAACCTTTTAGGGCTGAAATAATTCTTTGTTTGTTTTTATGTGCAGGTTTCAAAAAGGCTTGAGAGAAACGCTGAACAACGCAACAACTGTCAATTACCATAGTTTTTTTTTTAACAGAGAAAAAGTTTTATCTCTAATCTATAAAACAACATCATCGAGTTGTTAATATTTTCTTAATAAGCCGTAAGTTTTGGTTGAACCGATCAGATCAGATGGGATGAAATGTCAGAAAAAAGTAACATCACACAGATCATTAATTCTTTTTATTTTGTTAAATGTAGTTTATTTAGAAAGGACAGTGTGCATTAATAAATATTAAAATGACTGAGGTTAGCAAAAACACCTTTTTTTTGTCCCCTGTCACAGAGCAAAGAGAAGTATTAGAAATACCCTCCATCCATTTGTGCACGTTGTGAGCTCAATAACTTGAAAAATAAGTAATCTACCGACTTCTATTTTGGTGTGTGGCTGCATCTAGACATAAAAAAGTTCCCAGTCAAAAATTGGTTTGCCATGTCAAAATCCAAAATGGCCACTGCTGTATTTATATGTAAACCGCCCATCTCTATTGTTAAGGAAACTGTGCTTTCTAGATTTTATATTTCTTAAGAGTTTAGTTTCCTCGAACGATTGGGGTGACCAAAAATTAATCTATGTGGGTCAAGGCCACCATTGGCCACCCCCTGGCTCCACCATTGCACCTGGTGGTGGATAAAATAGCTCGCTCCACTCTCCAGGACCTGGCGATGAGTATTTTTTCTAGAATGGAATTGAACAGACAATGCAAATAAACCTTAATATTTTTGCTGCAAGATATTCACGATGTTAGGAGTTCCACTGTGTGAACAATAATGGTTTATTTTTTTCCTGACTGGTTTATACTGGTTGTGGCCATCTTGGATTTTGACGTGGCAACCCGATTTTTGAAAGTAACCATTTTTACACATAGATTTAGTCACACACCAACATGAAAGTTGGTATCACACTTATTTTTCAAGTTATGATGCTCACAACATGCACAGCTGGACAGAGGGTATTTCCATTTCCCCCTTTTTTCTCCGTGACTGGGGACAAAACATATTAAAAACCTCCGTCTGTTCTTCTACACAATGTAATTCTTAACATCTTGAATGTCTTCCACCAAAAGCATGAAGATTTATTTCATTCTCTGTTCAGTCCAGAAAAACACTCATCTCCAAAACTACAAACATTCACTTTTCAAACCCCTCAGATGGAGGACATCAGAGTACAGCTTGTTATATCTGATGTCTTTGGACAGGAGTTAAAAACTTACTTCCATCCACTATCTTTACCCACTTCTTCCTTTTCAGACAACGGGGGTCACTGGTGCCCATGTCCAGCAGTCACTGTGCGAGAGGCGGGGGACACCCTGGACAGGTCTCCAGTCCAATCACAGGGACACATAGAGACAAACAACCATTCACTCTCTCACTCACACCTAGAGACAATTTAGAGTTACCAATCAGCCTAACATGCATGTTTTTGGTCTGTGGGAAGAAACTGGAGTACCTGGAGAGACAGAGAGAACATGCAAACTCCACCCAGAAATGTCCCCGGGTCAGGATTTGATCCAGCAACTTTCTTGCTGAGGGGTGACAGCTCTACCTGCACCTTACTTTAAAACAGAATACAAAAATAAAAACCAGATACTTCTTGAAAGAATGCACATCATCCACCGCCTTTCAAGCCAGAGTTATAAAGATCATCTAATGTAGAGTAATGATGACTATATGTGTTTTGGTCAAGCTCTTAAACAATTAAAATTGTAATTTATGATGTCAAACTCAGAGGTTGTGGTGGGAACGACTCTCAGCTACTACAACACTAATATTTTTCATTCAACCTTTATTTATACAGGTTAGTCTCACTGAGTCACGAGGCCTCATTTACAAGAGAGACCTGTTTAAATATTTATGTTATGTTATTATGGCAGTAAGCCTGATATGAGTTGGTCCAGAAGCTAATCAGTTGTCTACTGGAGCCTTATCACATGATCTGAGCAAACATTGTAACTGGCATCTGTTAAGAGCTGTCTCTCTGCTCACCCAGGTTCGTTGGTCGAAGGGAAATTAGGGACGACTTCACACTTTTTATAACACTTATTTAAAACAGGAAAGATATGTTAATAGGATACAAACAGATCTGGAGAATTGATTGAAGATGGCAGCGACCCCAAAATGCAGATCAGTTCTGAACATAACGTGCAGATGCTGTGGTTTTGAGCTGCCGGTCAGCTCCACCTCCTAGGACACTCTTCCGATCTTTCGCACCGTCCACACAAGTTATTTTCCCAGGAGCTAAACAGAAGAACTTTGTAAATCTCAGGGACGTTTTATGGTGTTATCACACAGGATGAGGTGTTATCAGGGAGCTGCACATCTGCTACTTCCTCCTTCTGCACTCGTTCAGCTTTAACAAACAGCACGGCCTCTGCATTTAAGCAGGCCCTCATTTTTTATACTGCAACCATTTGTCACTACTCCTCTATGTAAAATACACATTAACTGATCAGAATTGCTAATAGCAGTTGATTAATACAATTTAAACCTCCAACACATCACTATCAGTAATCTACCCTGGTCTGAGACTACAAGTAATCTGGTTTATGTGCAAATTGTAGACATTTTTTTTATATTTTAATTCTCTTTGGACTGGGTGAAATGAGCTGGTGGGCCAGGTATGACCCAGTGTCCAGCAGTTGATGGTCATGGTTTTAAAACATTTATTAAAATAAAAATGTGTAACTCAAATAATAATAAAATAGATTTTTTTTTTCACATTTAAAGGAAATTAGATGGTTTAAATTAACTGAGAATTTATTTTTAGCAGTGCAAGTTTCTGTGTAAAATCTCATCAGTTACTTATTCTATTATTTTCCTGTATGTTGCATCCTCAGAGTGACCTTTGGTTCAGTCGTGTCCTGCTTCATGCCAATTGTGCACCGGTTCTGGGGAGGGCTCGACCCGTTGTGGTCATTTACAGGAATGGTTGTTTGTTTACTTGTTTGTTTTATAAAGTTTACACTTATGCAAGAAGATTGGATCAGCAGAAATTTTAAACGTGCACAGTGGAAATATAAACACAAAATGGATCATTTCATGAATTGTACTATAAAAGGTCTCTTTTGTAAACGAGTCCCTGAGGCTAAATGGGATTAACTTGTCTAAATAAAGGTTGAATGAATGAAAAAAAAAATGAAGTCAAATTCATGGAAAATTTTAAAATGTTTATTTCCATTCAGGTTTTTTTCCCCCCGTCTGACAAATAAAGAATCTAATATCAACAACAAAGTCAGGTAACTGACATGTAAAACAGCTGAAAAACAGCTAAATTAAACAGAAAGCTTCCACTTTATTAAAAGAACCACACCCATTTGAATAATAATTTGTATCATTACAGATCAGCTTTGTTTAAAATCCTTTAAACACTAATTAAATGGTTATAACAGTGCATTTTGAGCATGAAGGATGTAAAAATGTTTATTTGACTTGAGAGAGAACATCTGCTTGCTCATCAGGTCAAAGTCTGGGGGGGAAAAGTAAATGAGTGATAGAAGAAGGTTAATCAAATAAAGACAATTTAGTAAAGTTTTGTTCTTTTAAAAAGGAATGTCACATTTGAGCAACAAAACATCATTTTAAAGTTTTACGTTTAACTGTTCAGAAACTTGAGCGGTGCGTAGTCTTTAGTATCATCTCCAAGGATTCCCTTGAGGAACGGGATCATTTTGAACAGATTTATATGGAAATCTCTGGATTCAGCAATGGACTCAATCAGACCGTCATTGGTTTCACATAGCAGGTGCGTTCCCCAGCTCACCACCCCAATCTGTGCAAAAAGGACACATTTAGGAATATTTGTCACGTTCTTCACCGATTATTGTTGTTCTTTCAGGCAAAGTACAAATTGCACCACATGGATGCCAGAAAACAGTAGCAAACAAATAGCAGAAAGATGCCAAAAATAACCAAAAAAGCTGAATTTAGCAGAAAGAAGCTGAATTAAAAAAATAAAAAACTGAAAGGAATTATAATTCAAGATATCTCGAACGTAATTATAACTAGTCAGAATTACATTTTTAGATATCTTGAATTAAGAAATTATGCGTAGGCCCCTCGGCTACCACTTAGCTGTTGGGTGAAAAAGTAACAAAAAAGCTTAAGCTGGACTATAGCTGAAATGAGCAGTAAAAGGTTAAACAGCTCAAAGAATATGAAGGATGTGAGGGGAGCTCCATTAATTTTCAATGAGAAGAACATGGCCGACAAAGCTAAATATTACTAAAAGTTAAAATTCCGCAAATACCAAAAGCACAAGCTGTCCTGAATGAGCTGAACGTTTTGATTCATGAATTGTTGTAATAGAACAAAAACTGAGGAACGAGTTACGTTCTGAAAACGTACAAAAAAACAGATCTGAGGACTGAGAATGATTCAGAAACATTCAGATTTTTACATTTGGAGCTTTTTCATTGTTTTCAAAGCTGCACTCTTAAATTTATTTTTACATTTAATAACTTTGAACATGAAAACAAATATGACTGTGAGGTGATTGACACAATTTAAAAGTAAGAATGTGTAAAAGTCTAAACTTGTTAATTAATGCTTCCAGACATTTACCTGAATTGTGCGAAGCTTGTAGTTCTTGAACACGGCGCCTCCAGAATCACCTGTTGACATAAATTCACACACTTCATCACTAAATTTATCTGTTAGTGTTTAAAATATGTTTTTAATTAAACATATAAAAGTTTTGATTTCAAAATAACCTGAGCACACCTGTACAAGAGATGTGATCTCTGTGCTCGCCACCATTGTAACCTCCGGTGCACAGGAAGTTATCCGTCACAGCAATCTTTGGATCCGTCACGCTTATGCCCGGAGCCAGCAGTGCTTTTTGAATGCATATATTTCTCTGAATTCGAGAAACAAAAAACATAAATGAAAGAAATAAATAATTTTTGGTTATTAAAAAAATTAATAAAAAGGCAAGAAAACATCAACTCTGCGATGTGAAACTCACACTTTCTCCAAGCTTGGCATAAACAACTTTTTCAGCCACCAAGGGGGTTTTCCTCGTCAGGAAGCTGAGTCGTTCCCGTTGATTCTTTAGAAGAAGCTGCTCTGTTCATCGAGAACACCAAACAAACATAAAGACTATGGAATTAACAGAAAAATGACAAACTTCTACTCTCCCCCCATTAGGCCTTAAAAAAAAAAAAAAAGCTTCAAGCAATGAATTGGTAATTTATAATTCATTTTGATTTATTCAGAAATCCCTTTAAAACTCCTCAGTGGAACAAAGTTATGAACAGTGCAATACAACAAAAAAATTCAGCAACACTAGAAAAAACTAGAATAAAACAAAGTCAACATCTAACAGAAAAAATCACTGTAATGCCACTTGGTGATATTTGATTTAACTGTGCTGCTGATCTCATACTGCTGATTATCTCATACTGCTGTATTCATTCATGCCCATCTGCTGACCACAGACATGTTCAGGCTGCTGTTGATACGCTGTATTGTTTATTATTAGTGTTTAATGTATATCTTAAATCTTCTAGCGTACCGTTTGGCATTAGTTTCGCATATATCTTAGTGTATATTTTAGATACTTGAATACTATTTCTTTTTACACTATTTTTTTTTTGTATATATATTTTTGGGTGTAACTGGGACCTTGAGTACATAATTTCATTCCACTTCATGTATGTGATGCAAATGAGAATAAATTGACTAAATTGATAAATGAGAATAATTGACTTAAACTTGAACGTGAACTTGAAACAAAAGCCAAATAATAAAAATGAGTTTTAAGTGAGGATTTAAAAGCCTGGTTAATGTTCAAAGATAATTAGTTCCACAGGTTTGGCCCGGCCACCCCAAAAGCCCGGTCCCCTCTGAGCTCACGCCTGTTTCCAGATCCAATCAGGTGCAGCAGACCTGAGAGCATGGGCAGGCAGGTAAGGGTAGAGCATGCAGCTCAGACAGGTAAGATCATTTAAAGATTTTAAAACAAATAAAGATTATAAAATGGATTGGCAGCCAACAAATATATTTTAAAACAGATGTAATGTGATTAAACATTCTTGTGTAATTTAAAAGACGTACCACTGCATTCTACACCATCTGTAAATGGGCAATGCAGATGCTCTGCCCTCAACAAACAGAGCATTACATGAGTCCTGCTGAGTCGTACCAAAGGCATGGGTCACTGTCTCAAACAGCTGTTGCAAAAAGAATGGGCTTTAATAAACTAGATTTAACAACTGGCTGTCAAGTTTAAGACCCCTACATTTGCGGCGGTTGGTTTGACGTACTAGGCGAGGGAATCAAAATGCAAAAAGGCAGAATTTGTATTATTACCAAAAACAATAATTTCAGGTTTCTTTTTGTTAAAATTCATGAAAGTTAGCGACTTCCAAGCCTGTATGTAATCGAGGCATTCAAAAGTACCAAGTATTCAAATATTTTTATTATTCTTTTGATGCTTTTCATACATTTTTGGTATTGTTTTTTAATTAAATTACTGCCATTGGTTTTTATTGATAAGCACTTTGGTAACAGCTGCTGTTTTTAAATGTGCTTTATAAATAAAATTGACTTGACTTGATTATCTGACAGACAGGGAGTCCAAGAGGCTATAAACATACAAAGGCATCTTAATTTACATTAGCGTTTGTAAAACTGTGTTGGAGTTTTCCCCGGGAGATGAGAGGGTAGCTTCCTTGCACCTTTGGGTGGGAGGACAGGCTCTGCTGGTTGTTTGTGCCTATGTGCCAAACAGTAGTTCTGAGTATCTGGCCTTCTTGGAATCCTTACGGGGGGATGCTGGAATGGGCTCCAGCTGGGGAATCCTTTTATTCTGCTGGGGGACTTTAATACCTGTGTGGGTAATGACAGTGTCACCTGGAGGAGCATGATTGGGAGGAACGGCCTCTCTGATATGAACCCGAGCAGTGTTCTGTTGTTGGACTTATGTGCTAGTCATAGTCTGCCATCACAGACCTCAAAATGTTCAAAGCACAGAGGGCATCATGAAGACCAAGGAACACACCAGGCAGGTCCGAGATACTGTTGTGGAGAAGTTTAGAGCCGGATTTGGATACAAAAAGATTTCCCAAGCTTTAAATATCTCAAGGAGCACTGTGCAAACAATCATATTGAAATGGAAGGAGTATCAGACCACTGCAAATCTACCAAGACCTGGCCGTCCCTCTAAACTTTCATCTCGAACAAGGAGAAGACTGATCAGAGATGCAGCCAAGAGGCCCATGATCACTCTGGATGAACTGCAGAGATCTACAGCTGAGGTGGGAGAGTCTGTCCATAGGACAACAATCAGTCGTACACTGCACAAATCTGGCCTTTATGGAAGAGTGGCAAGAAGAAAGCCATTTCTCAAAGATATCCATAAAAGGTGTAGTTTAAAGTTTGCCACAAGCCACCTGGGAGACACACCAAACATGTGGAAGAAGGTGCTCTGGACAGATGAAACCAAAATAGAACTGTTTGGCCACAATGCAAAATGATATGTTTGGCGTAAAAGCAACACAGCTCATCACCCTGAACACACCATCCCCACTGTCAAACATGGTGGTGGCAGCATCATGGTTTGGGCCTGCTCCTCGTCAGCAGGGACAGGGAAGATGGTCAGAATTTATGGGAAGATGGATGGGGCCAAATAAAGGACCATTCTGGAAGAAAACCTGTTTGAGTCTGCAAGAGACCTGAGACTGGGACGGAGATTTATCTTCCAACAAGACAATGATCCAAAACATAAAGCCAAATCTACAATGGAATGGTTCACAAATAAACGTATCCAGGTGTTGGAATGGACAAGTCAAAGTCCAGACCTGAATCCAATCGAGAATCTGTGGATACAACTGGGGGTGCTTGGCATCGCGCCCCTATCGCGCGGCCCCCTGGTGGGGTGTGCCCTTGCCTGCCGGCGCGCTTGGGGCCCTTGGT